AGCTAGAAGCTTATTAACAAGGATTATCAATAATTTCATTTTAAAATAGCCTATTATTAGCCCAGCAATTACTCTGCAAAATTAAGAACCCTCTCACCTGCTGTACGGGATTTATCATATCAAGAGTTTCTTTGCCCCAGTAGCATTTCACCACATGACCTTCAATGGTAGTTCCATTAACAGAAACAATTGCATGTGCTGCACTTTCATGAGAATTGAACCTATTGAAAATATTAAGAAACACTAATATAAATTGTTTAAAATATTTATGAATAAATCTATTTAAAAAAATCAAGCCAACCCTGAGGTAAAACAGGCAGTTCATATAAAAGAATCAATAAAATGGCATATTTTCTTTGCTTCCCCTCCCCCAAAGATCTTACAGTTCAAGTACTTTTAATAAAGGTGTTTTATTATCTTTTGTTGGAAGGAGGGAGCTATTAAAAAACAATGGCAAATGTGCTAAGTATTAGAGAAATTTTATTTCTTTAAAACCAGAGTAAATGTTTAAGAAAACCACTAAGTTAAATGTATGGAAAGGATTTCGGAGAAAACATTAAAAAAAAAAACCAAAAAAAACCACACCTACCGAACAAACGAATATCCTTTATCTGGAAAGACTCGAATTTCCATTATTTGTCCAAATGGTGAAAAGGTCTGACGCATTACTTGTTCTGTTAGACAAAAAACAAGAGCCACACTTGAGTTATATTAAAATCTACAAATATTAGCCTTTTCAGTTTAAAAAAAATAATCTTAAGATGACACGTAAGTAAAGATCTCATACCTGTTAGCCCAGAAGTGACACCTCCACAGTATACAGTACAGTTGCTTGGACTAGACTGATTTACAACCTCATCATATGATAGCTGTTTGGTGTTTGCTGGGAAGAGAAAGTTTAATAATTTTTAATTCATTAAATAAAATGTTAAGAGAAAACCAGCATTAACTATACTAATGTAATAGTATAATTTACCTTAATCAAAATGCTTATATAATACATATTATACTTGATTTGAGGATTAAACCTCCCCCAAGAATGTCTAATAAATTACTCAGTATACTCTATTTAGGAGACTTGACATTAGATATTATCATTTATTATTTATAATTACAAAAATGAAAACTAAGTACATTTTTGAATAGTAGTCTTGATTTGCTCCTCATCTATTTCTGCAATAAGTCTCCGGGAACAGCTCTAACATTTAAAATCTAGTGTATTTTCCTCCAAAATTCCACATTTCCTTTTCTTCTCCAATACACCTACACTCATATGTACTCTTTGGAGCTGGAGGCTTTCGGGTTGCCCAGTTAGTTCTGATTTGTCTTCCACCAAGCCACTGGCCACCCATCTGTTGAATGGCGTTTTCGGCATCCTGTTCCATACAACATTAAAAATGACAAAGAAGCCACTATTAGTTGATGTTAAACAAGTGTTAGCAGTAGAGAAAACGCATAACTCCTTCTCACAAATGTTTTTTGAATGAAAATGTTTTATGAAATAAACTGTATGGTAATTTTCCTAAAAGGCAATGGTGCTTTTAAATTACCTTTCTTTTATTTGGATATCAGACTTTGGGAACATTCATCCCCTGAAAAAGTCCAGAGTCCCCAAATCCTTATGAGATAGCTATTAAAAGGCTTAACAAGTTGGACTATTATGGATGAAAATCTTACCTTATACAATCCAACAAACTTGTTAATGATAGTATTTGTTTTTTTACTCATCCAACAACTAAATATTGAACAGCTATCATGTCCTGGGCAGCAGGGTAAGGGCTACGGATACACTGGTGAATGAGGCAGACATAGTTTCTGCTGCCATGGAGCTTACATTCTTTTGGGGGGATAAGTAAACCAATTGCAAATTTTGGTAGATGCCATGACAGAAACAAAAAGCTAACAAAACACACTTTAGACATTATGATTAGGGGAGGTCTCTCTGAGAGAGAGGAATAGGAATTAATCAAATCAAAACACCAGGGAAGAAAACCTGGTAGAGGGAAAGCATTGCCAAGTCTGTTAATACTGAAAAGAGATTGGTATGCNNTAAGATTGTCATCTGATTTATGTTTTAAGGAGGCCATTCTCAGCGCTAGGAGAATGGCTTAAGGAGATGGGTAGTAAAAGTAAAAACATACTTTATGAGACTAATGCAATATCCAGATTTTAAAACATGCTGGTGGCCAGGACTGCTGCAGTGGCAGTGGATATAATCTAAAGGAAGAGTCAGCAGAATTGTGGGAGGGGGTATGCACAGTAAGTAAAAAGGCAGGAAGAAGATAACTCCTAGGCTTCTGTTTGGGCAGTCGGGACGATAGTGCATTTACAGAAACGAGGTGTCTGGGAGGGAGGAGGGGAACAGGTCTGAATAAGAAATAGAGCCCCATGCAAGATACATTAAGTTTGACACGTCTGCAAGACATCTAAATGATGAACCATTTGTTATTAAATTGGAGCACAAAGACGTAAACAACTGGAGATACAAAATTTGGAGTCATGAACAGACTAAAGAGATAAAAGAAAGCATCCTGTAAGAAGTGAAACTGAAGGAACAAAACAGTAGCAGACTCACAGACCCCAAGAAAGGGCTAATGGTTGTCAAAGGGGAGGGGTGGGGGATAATGGGTGGGGAGTGAAGAAGAAGGGTATTGAAGGGCATTATGATCAGCACATGTGGTGTGTGGGTCATGGGAAGACAGTGTAACACAAAGAAGACAAGTAGTGACTCTGTGGCATCTTACTATGCTGATGGACAGTGACTACAATGGGGTGGGTGGGGGGACTTGATAATATGGGTGAATGTAGTAACCACAATGTTGATCATGTGAAACCTTCGTAAGAGTATCTATCAATGATACCTTAATAAAAAATAAAATAAAAAAGTAAGCATTCTAGCAAAGAGCCCTGAAAAACAGGAAAATCTGACAACTGGGTAAAGGAAAAATTGCTAGCTGAGATGACTAAGGAGTACCCAATGATAAAGGAACCCACAAAAGTTTTCTGTCACAGAACCAAGGAAGCAGAAATCAAGAGGTAAACTTGAAAAGAGTAGTACTGGTAGACTGAGAACGCAGGCCAACTTAAGAGCAGACTGAAGAGGAAATGTTTTGCTATGTCAAATGTGGGCTTACCCTAGCACCAAAGAACAGGAAAATGTAAGATTAAAAACTAATTTTAAGACATATAAAAAAGAAATGAATATTCTTTTGTTTTTTGATAGGCATACTTTTTTTATTACATTTCACATTATTGCACTTCACAGATACTGTGAAATGCATATTCTTAAAAAGAAACAAACATTGTTTACTGCACTAACCAGACTGAACTCCATGAGATGTTTAACTGCTGATAATGGGTTTAATTTTGTCCTTTAATTTGATATTTAGTCCTAACACCCCACTTCCCCATCCCTAATGTGACTACGACATTATTTGGAAATAGCGTCTTTGCAGATGTATTACTTAAGACATATCATACTAGATTAGAGTGGGTCCTAAATCTAAAATCCTTGTAAGAGGAGAAGCCAATGTGGACACACAAAGAGGAAAGAGGGCCATGTGAAGATAAGCAGATTTTGGAGTAATGAAGCTGCAAGTCAAGAACACCAAGGATTGCTAGCAACCACAAGAAACAAAGAAGAAGGAACAAAGGATTCTTCCACAGAGCTTTCAGGGGGAACATGGCCATGATGACACCTTGATTTGGCCTTTCACCCACTAGAACTTTGAGAGAATAAATTTTTGTTGCTTTAAGCCATTTAGCTTATGGTACTTTGATACAGGAGCTGTAGAAAACAAAAACAGCTACTAACAAAGGCAAAAAAACTTTTTAGGGTGTGTATGAATGTTAAGGTTGTGTATGGAAGACAAGCAGAAGCATATGCAAACAACTCTTTTGAGAAGTTTGATTCTGAATTACAGCAGAGAAATGGGGATAAGCAGGGAAAGGCTAAACCTTATACTTGGTGGATGGGACAAACACACGGCAGAGCTTTTACTTTTTCACCTCCCAATATGCTTTACTATTTCCAACCTTTCATACATGGGTTTTTGCTGACATCTTAGGGTTACCCACTCTCTTTACAAGATTTTCTAATTTCTTAGAAGATATTTTCACTTCATGTGAGGAAGATGATAGTCATACTGCATAACACATTGAAACAGTCTGATTGCAAGATACAATGTTACTGTGTGAACAGCTACTCCATACAACTACAGTACATTCTACATTCTCTTGCTTGAACTTGCAAGCCATGTAAATATTTTTAGGGCAGACTTTTTTTTTTGATATTTTAATGTATTTTAAACAACAATAAAGATTCTGTTGCCTTAAAACAAAACAAAAGTCACTCACACAGAAATTAAGGTCATGACTAGAATATATACTTATATCTAGAGTCCTAACCTCAGTCTGGCATTTCATAATCAGGACTTATCAGGGAGCTGACCAGGAAGTTATCTTGGGAGAGACTTAAAATTTTGGGCAAAAAATGGTTGCAAGCTCTTTTGGCTGGATTGTAAGAGTTCATAACTAAGGAATAACCAGACATTGGTCTCAATATAAGTAGACAGGAATGAGAAAAAAACAAAACAGTTTGACATTATTTGGCACACTGCACACAGATGTATTTTTAAAAAACCCAGAAGGAACTAGTATAATAACTGATGTTCATAAATCTAATGTGAAGTCATCAAGAAATGATAAAGTATTTCAAATATTCCACTTACTAAATTAAGAAAAGCCTTTCTAAAATACATTCTAATACTATCAGAAGCTTTTAATGGCTTACTCTAAGGCACTCTTACACAGAAAATATGGTGTTTCTGTACTTTTCATTGGCAAATAATAGTCATAACATAGAGGCAATACAGTAGGATTCAACAGAAATGAAACCTT